GATGCAGTCGCCAATGCGGCCTGGCAATGCACGCCAAACGACAGAATCATCAGACAGCTCGTCGGAAGACACTTCTGCTGCCTCGGTTTATGCAGCGAGCATTGCCTCTGCACCAGTCCCGAACACGGATCACTCACGCACCAAGTCGAGGGAGCTATCTGCACAGGAAATTGCTGCTGCCGCCGCCGCAGCAGCAGGAGCAAGCAACATGGCGACAAAGAAACAGACCATCAACCAATCCCTCAACTCTGCCACAGCAGCAGCCAGGAACTGGCTCGCAGCCAAGCAGAACGCAAAGCCCAACACCAGTACCACCAACAGACCACCAACATCCGAGGGCCCGAGCATAGATCACGACTCATCATCATCATCATCTCTGGACCCCCGCCCGCAACTCCACTCCAATCCCTCCATCTCAAAATCCCACACCGAACCCATGGGAAGAGGTCAACCCCTCCCTCCCCCAGGCACACCTCTACCGCACCCCAAAACCGAAAAACGACAAACGTGGGCCATCCCCGCCGCAGCCTCCTCGACATTTGCGAATCTCACGAAACGCAAACCCGTCGTCCCTGGTCCCAGCTCCCCCGCCGTCTCCAGCAAACACTCAGTCGAAGATCTCATCGACAGCCCCAAAACAGCACTAGGCACAGCTTCCCTCTTGCCCGCCGCACACTTCCCAGATCAAGACGCAAGGACGGGTGGCGGTGGAGATGACGACGACGGGGAAGATGTGTTTCGGGAGATGCGGCGGAGGAAAAGCAGTGCTGGCAGTGCTGGTACTGCGCATACTGCGAGTGAGCTCGCGACGCCGCCGCCGCCGTTGCCCAAACGCAGGCAGAGACAGCCGAGTTTAAATCTGAGTGCGCATACGAGGCGGGCGAGTCAGAATCAGAATCTGCCGCAGCTTGGTGGGGAGGGCGAGGGGTTGTTGGTTGTGGAAGCGCCGGTCGTGGAGGGGAGTACGGGGAGGGACGATGAGGGGAGTAGGGAGAGGGGTGTTACGTGAGGAGGGTAGTGTTGAGGTAGTTCATGAATGTCATTCTCGGCACGGAGGCAAGGTCATGCAAGAAACCGAACTGAATGCATGCTGATAACTCGTGTAATATCTCTTTTGGCCTATCTGCTTGACGACCTTTTCTTGGGGTATAAATCTTCATCTCTGGATCTCATTGTCCTCATCCCATTTTCGCGTTCGAAAAGTCCATCTCGGGATGCTGCTTCTTGAACTGCTCCAGGATATCCGCCTTCTTCTGCTCGTCGCTCGTCGGCTTCCCTAGCTCCTTCTGCTTCTGGTCGAACATCATCTTCTCCACCATGCCGCGTGTCTCTCCGTCGAGGTCGCCCAGCTTGCTGTTCTCGGGCTGGATCTTGGAGGTGTCGATCTTGGGCGCTGTGGTGACGACGTGGGCCCACCACTCCATCTGGTTCACTTTGTCGAGGTGGATGGAGATCTCTTTCTGGGACCCGACGGAGGTCAGTGTCCAGGTGGAGTCGTCAACGCGTATGGCATGAGGCAGCTCGCCCTGGACAAAGCGTTAGCACATGCTTTTGCTGGACGGAACAAGCAAGGACGAACGTCGATGAAAGGCTCCTGGCCCTTGATGCCGGCCTTGAGCGCGTTGCGGGTAATCTTGACGTCCAGGTCCTTGCCCTTGTACTTGCCATCAATGGTGATGGCGATGTCGAGGTCCTTGATGGTCTGGTCCCACTTGTAGGGCAGGGCGGCCTGCTCGGCCTGCTCCTTTGCGCGGGCGTCGGCGTCGGCCTTCTCGCGCTCTTCGGGTGGGGGTGAGGCAGACATGGCGGCGTGTTTGGCGGCGTGGAGGGAAAAGTTTCAGTGTTTGGGAGGGGAGCGTGGGCGGGACACGATGACGCTCCTCCGCCGATCCATCGTTCGCAGCAAGCCCGACGCAAGCGCAAGCTCCACCATGCGCCCTGCTTCACTCCTCCTACCCCGGTCCACTCCAATAACGGACATGCTCCTCGGATTGCAATCTACGGGCCACCCTCTCCTCTATTGATAACGCGACGACTCCTATCCTTCCACCGCGCCGTAATGCTCTCCTAGCACCGCCCGAGCCATTGCGACACCCGGCCACGACACCCGCACCCACCGCCAGCACGACGGCTACACGGCACCACCGAGCCCGCGGCCCAACCGGGCAGCCATCTGTGAAGTCATGGCCAGCTCCTTCGAGAAGAGTGTCAAGGGCGGCACCAAGATCAAGGTAGCTATGCGCCCTCGCTCCTTCCGGCTGCTCCCCATGCGCCATCACGCTGGACTAACACACGATACAGCTTGCAGCGCCCAAATCCAAGTATGTCGAGCACATCCTCGTCGCGACGCACGCCGGCGAGGCAGGCGTTGCTGAGATCTTCCGCGCCCTCACGAACCGACTACGCGACTCGACATGGACCATCGTATTCAAGAGCTTGATCATCGTACATCTCATGATAAGAGAGGGCGAGCCCGAGGTCACGCTCAAATACCTGGCGCAGAACCCACACAGAAAGCTGGCCATCAACCATTTTACAGAGGGTACGTCTTGAGATTCACTTCCGGGCCGCCCAGCCAGGGTGATGTGGCTACAACACGGGCACGAATTGGGCAGCAACCGCGTCGCCCAATGCCCTGTATCTTAAGACGGATGTCATTTGGACTGCAGCAGAGGGCATACACCAGGCGCTAACATTGCGTGCAATAGTACAGACCCAGGGCCACAACATCCGGACCTATTCCGAATACCTGCTGCGACGTGCGATCGAATATGGCGCCACCAAGGTCGACTACGTGCGCGGCGGCGAGGGGCGGCTTAAGCGGCTGACTGTGGAAAAAGGCCTTCTTCGTGAAGCCGAGAGTGTGCAGGACCAGATCAGATCACTGCTCAAGTGCCAGCCCTTCGACGACGAACCAGAAAACGAGATTACCATGACAGCGTTCCGATTGCTCACGATGGATTTGTTGGTACTCTTCCATGTTATGAACGAGGGCACCATCAACATACTCGGTAAGTCCAACACGTCTTCTTGGTTTACAGGGTATTGATAAAGTAGAGCACTATTTCGAGCTGTCAAAGCCAGACGCAACGCGCGCGCTCGCAGTATACCGCACATTCGTCAAGCAGACGGAAGCTGTCGTCCAATACCTTAGTCTTGCAAGAGCACACGAACACTCGACAAGGCTGGAAATCCCCAAGATCAAGCATGCTCCTACCAGTCTGGCAGCATCCCTGGAAGAATATCTCAACGACAAGGACTTCGAGATCAACCGACGACAGTACATCGCCGAGAAGGAGGCTAAGAAGAACGGGGGCAAGCCTACCAATGGTGCTAGCAAACCCTTGGATACGAAGCCTTCCACGGCGAATGCACCCTCAAACAATACGAGCAGTCAACAGCCAGCAGCAGCCTCGAAACCCTCCTCCAGCGCACCCTTGATTGACCTCTTTGCATCACTCGAGGACAACCAACAGACCATGGCCACGCAGCCCATGATGCAGCAGTATCCCCAACAAACAGGCTTCCAGGTTCCACAACAGACGGGCTTTCCTCAACAGCAGCAACAGCCCTTCGCTATGCAGAATGGCCAGAGCACCAATCCGTTCCAGATGCAGCAACCACAGGTGCCGCAGATTCAGGCACCCCAGCTCCAGTCACAATTCACAGGCGCAGGCTTTGGAGGCTACTCGCCTCAACCGTTCGGTGTACAGAATACCATGCCTTCAATACCGCAGAATGGTATGCCTGATTATTCACAACAGCAGCAAATGCAGATTCCCACAATTGCCGAACCCCTACAACCACAACAAACGTCAACAAACCCATTCCGACAGTCAATGCTACCCAGTGCCGAACCCAAGATGCTCACTAGCCCTACCAGCACTGGATCGCTCAATCGGTCATCCACAAATCCATTCGCAAAACAAAGTACCGGTTTCTCGCAGTCGCAATCACCCATCAATTCTCCACCTTACTCCATGTCACCCATCCAAGAATCGCCATTCGCTCCGATGCAGCAGCAGCCTTTGCAGCCAACACCAACCGGCACAAATCCATTCGCACGGCAGCCCTCGCCGCAGAGTGCCGCATCCCCACAGGGTGGCTTGACAGTGAACGCTACAGGCAGTACCAATCCTTTCCGGCAGAGCGCTTTTGTCAACCAGCAAACGGGCCAGGGTTGGCAGAATACAGGTAGCCAAGGGACGATGGGCGGAATGAGCCTGGATCAGGTACCCACAACGAGTGTCTTTCCACGGCCTGGACAGCAACAGCAGCAAAACTTTCTTGGCTAGGATCAAGACATGATGATGGGTCAATGGTAGACTGCGACTGTAAGAAGCTCAAAGGGCAATTCATACACTCGTAAACGGGCATTTTCATTAGGGATGGCGTTTCTATACCGCTCGCCGCTGTAGTTATTACGTACTCGGTTGGACATAATCATGCTGCACTGCGCAAGGTTAGTTGTGTGTACATCGGTTTCTTGGAAGGGGCGTCGGGAGCCCGCTCAATGTCGGATGTCCAAGGGCAGATTGGGTTGTTTTGTGATAGATCATGTACCGACAATGTTGCTGGGCTGAGGCCAGGAGGGGAAGCCCCTCGCTAATGCATTATAATTACTGTCGCACACCCCGCGTTGTTCTCCCACTGCACAGAGCGTTGAGCCTTGACTTTGACTCTTGTGTTGGCAATTCTACCTGGGAGGTCGCGTCGAGTGGGGCTAAATAGTCGCCACTGCCTCTTAGGTAAATGCAGGGGTAATACAAGCCACGTGCCGACGCGTTGCCGTAGATTTAGCGCGACGGGCACAACTTGCCTATCAAGCCTCACAGCGGGCACAACACGATCCACAATCTCACTCACTCGACGCCGCTTGATATTCGCCACAGATGACCACGGTTTCTGCCATCTCTATCTGGACCCGCCTCCCATGACCTTATTGAAACAGCGCAAATTTGTCGACTGGCGCCGGCGAGCCCGCATCAGCGTTACCAACAATGAAACCTGACGGGTCTCTGGATGCTCCCTTCACTCTGGATGACGACCCGCCTAGTTATGTTCCTGCGCCTACAGTGCGACGGCGCCATCGCCAAACGCTTGACCAAGATGGGCTTGAGGAGATCTCCGACGCGCAGCAAGCTGCAGCTGCATGGAAGGAAGTCGCCGCACGGAGACAAACGAAACAAAGACACGGGAAAAACATGAGCAATGATACGTCTGGAGGAGATAGTAGTACGAAGGACAGCAATCTCACAAACAAACCGCGAGACCGGACGTCGTCATCCACGAAGTCTGTTGAGATTGTTGATCTTTCCATCGATGAAGACGAACCGCCAGTATCCGGACAAGCAACACAATCAGGCGCAAGTACTAGAGTGAATCAGCGCCCAATTCAGGGACCACAGGGATTCGTTCCTTTGCCTAGTACGCGTCACGAAGCTGTGCTTCCTGAGCGAGCTAAGCCTGCTGAGTCTCCTAAGAGAACGAGTCGGATATTCTCTCTCCCCATGGAATCTCTAGCAACTCCGACGTATAACTCACATCATGCACCTCTATCATCGGTCGCACGAACAGCGGGGCCATTTTCGGGACCTTCAGAGCCATCGACAACGCCGACTCATCACTCACGCTTTGTGCCCAGCTCATCAGTGGTGCAAGCTACAGAACCAAGTGCGGAGCTTTCAAGGGGACCTTCAGCAAACCCAGTCTATCAACCACGCTTCCTGCCTCGACCATCGGTCACACAAGGAGCGGGACCAAGTGCGGGAGTCTCCAAGGTCACGCCGCTGAACCGCTCGCCGTCAGCCGCACCAACACCAAGTACAGAGCCGAGCGTTACCACTCAAGCGATCCTGGGACATGAGAATCTTTCCCCTCAGCCTACGTACCGTGCGACGTCGGCCCTCGGACCCTCAACCGACCGCACCGCACCCGACTTGGACCATGCCGTGGATCCATCGGCTCAGCCAACCAGTAATGTCTCCGAGACTCCACCTGAACAAGCCTCTTCAAGTCGCGGAGATACAATTCCGGAGTCGGACGACGCAACACCGGATGATGATAGCGGCAGCATGACTATCCCTTTGCCTAACAAGTCGCCCGAGTCAAGCCTTTCAGCAATACAAAGACTGCCGCAGAAACAGAAAGCCATCAAGTCAGTAAGACGAAGAGATGATGGGTTCTCGGGTTCACAGCTGCCTGTCAGACCACCGCGTCAGTCTGCGACTGATCATCGGGATGTAACAAACTTATCCTTCAAGCCTCTCGACCTGGGCTCGAGTAAGTCGAGGTCCGGGTCGCTTGTGGTAACACGTCGTAGCCAAAGCAAAACTCCAACGATAGATACTAGTATCATTGCTGATAGCGCGCCTGCGCAGGCGGAGGAAGAATCCGTCAGGGATGCCAGTCCTGTGGAACGAAGCACAACGCCGACACAATCGCCGCCACCGCCACCTCACGATGAGGCAGGCGAACCTGCACCGGGGCGTGCCATTAGCTCGACACCTCTACTGTCCCGTTCTGCCACCCCTACTGCCCTGCGTCCTGTCGAAGCATCAGCAGAGCCGACCCGGCCCTCTGAAGCGCCATTACCAGTCCCCGAAATTATGATCCCAGATGTACCAGCTCCGGCAACAGTCGTCAGTACTCATCCAACCATCCAACCCGAACACCTTCGGGTGCCTGTCGAGAACGATGGTGGTAGAACAAGCAACAAGCCCCCACTGCAAGCAGATGTGCTCGTCACTACACGCTCAGCTGTAGAAGCGTGTTTGAAACGTCATGTGGCGGAACGACATGGATTACATGCATACCTGATGGAGACGAAGATGCGAAATCAGAGAACATTTCAAGAACAAGACCTACGCGCCCGGTCCCGTAAGCAGAAGCGTCCACAACAGCCAATCCTACCCGAAAAGTACATTCAGAAGACTTCCCCCTTTGAGAACATGCGTGCTATACAAGTGCCGTTCGACAGAGCCAACGCCAAGCGCCTCGTGGATATGAGTCAGGAAACATTCATCAAGGCCAAACCCAAGGACACAGTGGTCAAGTCAGGCTTAGCCGTGCCCACTACAAAGTACAAGAGTGATGCGCCGAAAATTCCTCCTTTCAAAGAGTATGTCAGTCTGAGGAACAACGTTCTTAAAGACAATGAGTCAAAATTACTCGCAACACCCTATTTCCAGGACGAAGACTATCGTGGTCGCGAGGTTCTGCTGGATACGCTTCCTTATATGTACGAGATGACGCATGACGAGAAGGGGCCGCTAGACTTCCGCAAGGAACAGTGCCGGTTCTACGATAAGGCCATCGAAGCATTTCTGTCTGAGATAGGCATCACATGGAACGATATCCTGTTTTGGTTACTGGCCCCGGATCAAGACATTATACGAATCAACGACTCTTTGAATGGAAGCAAGCAGTTCGAAACACAGCTCCTCGAAAGATCGCGATATCACATTGAGGAGTTTGAGAGAGACGGTGAACCGAAGAAGGCTGTTCTGTTTGACCGGAACAACAAAAAGTGGGAAGAGTTTGTCGCACAGCTTGAAGAGCCGATTCCGAGTGCTCTGAGACTTGCGGCAACAGCTTCTGCAGCGGTATTCAAAGAATGTGAATTCAGCATCTGGTACTTAGCTCAACAGTCCAAAGCTGTACAGAGTCTCATACAGAAGAAGTCTGCACATCAACAGTCTTCCAAGCACTCAACGTACAAAAAGATCATGTGCAGAGTGTGCCATCAGTAAGTACCAACGCGTGGATTTTGATGACGAAATCCTAACATTCTTGACAGACACGATTGCCTTCTTCATGGCGAGATCAGACAAGTACCTGAGGATTCCTGGAAGACGGACTCGGAAGACGAAGAACGAGCTACACAGGCGACTGATGATACCAGTCGTCGAGGCTCCAACAACAAAACTTCGCGCCGGGTGTCGAACTTTAGCAGAGACGACACCGACGATGAGAACGAACCGGGCGATCCCTTGCCCGCACACTTCGACTCCGACTCCGACATTGAGAAGGTCATTAATTATAAGCTCCCTGCAAACCCAAGCGCTTTCGAGTCTTGTTCAGAGACGGAGATGATTACTCCCAAAGGTGCAAAACCGCCACCTGGTAAGTTTAATAGCACTTGGTGGCTGAACCAGGATACAACGCAACATTGGGAGAAGAGGAAGCCTTTTTTCCCATGCAAGCACGAAGGCAGCTGCGAGAACGCGAAATGCCGGTGCTTCAGAGAAGGCATTAATTGTGAGAAAACATGCAAGTGCTCTCACTCTTGCAATCGACGTTATCCTGGTTGCAGTTGTGCAACAGCGTCAGGGAAGCGCGTATGTCTTACACAAACATGTCTCTGCGTCAAATTCAACCGAGAGTGCGATGCAGACCTTTGTGGCTCTTGCGGAGCATCTGAAGTCCTTGACCCGGTGAATCGTTATAACGATGAAGTGGTTCAACGCACCTGCTGTAATGTTGCGATACAGAGGGGTGTTCCTCGGAAAACATTGCTCGGTCATTCGGAAGTGCATGGCTTTGGACTCTATATGGGCGAGGACATCAAGAGTGGCGAGTATATTGGTGAATATACTGGCGAGGCCATCTCGGTTAAGGAAGGCGACCGCCGAGTGACGATATACGACTACCAGAAGACGATGTATCTGTTCCGTCTAAACTCGAGTGAGTTCCTATATTGCTCTCACGCGGATCAGATTGCTAACACCAACATGTAGAGCAGGAAGTTGATGCGACATACATGGGTAACAAACTACGCTTCATCAACAATGCCGACGACAAGTACACGAACTGCGGCCCCAAGAACTTGCTGTGCAACACAGTCTTTCGCATCGCGCTCTTCGCCACCAGAGACATCAAGGCAGGCACCGAACTGTTCTTCAACTACAACTATCCCAAGGAGAAAACAGAGCAATTCAAACAGCCGAATGCCAAGATCGTCGCGGTCAAACAGACCAAGCAAAAGACGAAGAAAAGGGAGTCACTCACCAGTCTGAGCCAGCCCATCGAGGACCGCTCACGTATCCTTGCCGCCACAGCAAAAGCCAGAGAGGCAAAAGCAGCGAAGCGGAAAGAGGCCATGCTGCAAGAAGGCGGCGTGGAGCCAGCCACAAGAAGGCGCTCTGGAACACTTCAAGCACGAAAGGCAGCTACGAGCAAACCCGGACGCAAGGCAGTGCGAAAGTCCAAGCGCGGAGGGCTCAATAGGAACGAGTCCACAGGTTCAGATACGGGTATGGATGTAGAGGCAAGCGACCCCGAAATCCCCGAAATCCCCCCTGTCATTGAGTCGCAGAGCACTCAGACTAGTCTGTACGTCCAGGACACGGAGGCGGAAGACGACGAGTTCATCTTGCCGGATACCCAAGAAGACGAAGAGCAAGATGTGGCTGAGCCGGCCTCTGAGGATGATGAACCGCCCGGTCGATCTACGAGGTCTCGTCGTGGGCCGGGTCGACCGCGTAGGAGGGCGTCGGATGTGGCGCCGGTGGTTGCGGTCAAGCAGGCGGTTAAGCAGGCGGTCAAGCAGAAGAAGTCGAAGATGGGTGGTGCACGACCAGGTGCTGGCAGGAAGAGGAAACGGCCCGTTATTGCTAACAGCGATGATGAGTGAGACCTCTACGCCAGTAGCTGGGATTGCACATTGGTAGAAGGATGAGTGGAATGTCTGTTTGGTGTTCATTCTTGTGTTTAATACCCCATTCTACATTGCTCCAAGCAAAACATTACCACAGAAGACTTGTACGTGCCCGTGAAGTTTCCAGTCAAAATGCGCAAGACGTGCTGGCACCCTCAACGATGGAATTTGCATAACCTACTCAGCCACCCTTGCCACTTCGCGAGCAGCTGCAACGCAAACCCCCAGCATCACGCCAGACTCGCAAATCCCCGCAACACCAAAGCCACCCCCTCTTCCCACCCCGTACCAAACCGCTGCCCTAATCCAGAAGAGCTGCCAGCCCACCCAACGGCCGCACCAACCTCCGGGACGCGACCCGCGAAAAGGCTGCAAGCCAGTACCGGCGTGCTTACCATTCAACTCCTAGTGCAACCACACCTAGCGATCTGCAACAGCGGGGAAAAACAAACGGCATTCGTTCGAGACCGAGACTATCGAATCGAACGCTTAGGTAGCGGCAAGAGGGGGAATAAGCACCGGAGACTGGAGGTGTCATCTAGACGTGGGATTGCCCGCACAGGCACAGGTAAGTGAGCTCAGCGGGAACAAGCAAAACGTTGGTTTCAATCGATATTTCTACGATGGATATGTATGTGCCTGCACAACTGTTGAGATTGCGATTGCACTGTGCGCAACTCCTCCTATCTATGGTAATTTGGCATTCAGCATACTCGGGTTTACCAAACGACCCATGCTGGCTGTGCGTGCGCCTCTTCCGGTGCGGATCGCTGCATCCACGCACGAGATGTGCTACAGGTATGTAGCCAGCCGATGCGTTTAAGGTTTAGAGTGGGGCGGGGAAGGCCTGGCTAGAGTAGTAGTTGAGATTGGGGAGATGCGACAGGAACGCGTGGAAACGGCGAGATGTCATGGGTGAGATGGATCTTGTAGGACTTTCTATGCAGTGGAGATGCTGTGATCGGAAACGTGTGTGTGTGTGTGTGTGTGTGTGTGGTATCGCACCTGATTAAGCCCGGTGCAAAGAAGAGGCGGGTAAAGACATAAATGAACATCACGTGGAAGCTCCACCGTCCATCTTCAGGGCTGGGCAATGTCTTGAGTCCGATACATCGCAAGACGCGTCTTCAATACAAAGCCCAGCCCATGATTTCCCATCCACAGGCAGCGCTACGCACATACATCTCCGTCGACCTACGTCAACAAAACGTCCTTCTTTTTTACCCACCCACCCCCCTTAGCTCCGATGCGCATCTGAAGCCGAACATGGGAAGCAACGAAAATACCCGAGACACAGACGCGGGCCAAGCTTGCACCAGAAAGGGAACGCACCTGCTACATTTAGCCTCTTTGCTCCGCAACCGGTGCTCCACCCATTCGTTGCTGCACTAGCCACACGCTCGGCCAACCTTCGCGCCCACGCCGCGGGTTCAAGCTGTGGTGTGCGTGGTGTGTAGTTCGGCGCGCGTTCCCTCTGCTGCGCGAGAGAAGCAGTACATGCATACAAGGAGAATGCAATACTGCTATGCACGTGAAAGGAAAGAAGCAAGACGGCGGAACAAGAGCCCATGGAGACGTTCATCTCCGGCGTCGCGCATGCCGCAACGAGGTCTGGATCCACCCCGTATGATTGGATGCTGATGTCATTGTACGCGGCTGGAGCGTGCACCCACTTTCACATGTCAGACGACGACGCTTCACGCATCAGCAGGACCCAGGTAGGTGCTGCAACACGGACAACGGCCCCACTGTCCAACTGGCGCAAATGATGGCGCGCTTCACTTGCCCTTCAGCTGGCCTGCGTAGCAAAAGCTTGGAGCAAACGTGCGTAGTAGCAAGCCCATTCTGCCAAACCTCACCTTGCTTGTCTGTCCGTACTCCTGAGGCGTCTAGAACTCGCTCTCGTCACTTTTGTCTTCTGAATTGTTCCGCGGAATAATTAACCAAGGGTTTGTGTTGTTGGAATTGGGTATTCTTTCTTGCCGGTATCCGCAGTGTTGCATGCAGCTGGATCTGTTCATCATCCATTCTCAGCCTTACTCCTCATTTCTCACCTGACGTCTTCCCGACTCCGCTTTCCACCACCCACCCACCAACCAACCAACCATCTGGGCACGCTGCCGGCACATCAACACATCCACTTTCTACCACACGTCTCGGTCTTTCTCGACGCACTTCACATCTCCCCGGCCAAATGGATTGCATAGAGGCCATGGGTGCGCGACGTGCCATGTCGCTCATGTTCACCGTTCCGGAGCGCTTCGTCGGCTTCGCGCACATGGACCAGAAGACTTTCTTCGAACTCTCGGACTGGATCCTCGCAAACGTCGCATCAACGATTACTACCGACATAAGTGTGGAAGAGTCGCTGTTCATATTCTTGGATATCGTGGCACAGGGGAACAGCTTCAGTACCGTGGCGTATGGATGGGATCATGACCTAGAGCTTACTCAAGGGTACGTTGTCGAGCGAAAACTGTTTGCGCTGTATCGAGGTAGATACTAACTGTCGCGCGTAGCATATTCCTCAACGTCCTCAACGCCCTCACGGTCCTGCGCGAGAGTAGGGAGATTGCCGATTCATGCCCGCCCTTCACACAAACCCGTAAGCGATGGGAAGTCGCTCGGAGATGGAACCAGAAGCGGGCGCGTATGGGCACCGGCGGTGTCGTCCGCATCGGCTACGACGAAATGTTGCGCGACGGCCTCGAGGTTGACCAAGAGTGTCTGAAAGAGGCGCTGATGGCCATGAACAACTTCATCCACGAGAACGCCGACCACGACGAATCATGATGGCGCACAAGATTGGTAGTTTCCTGCATTTGTTCCGGTGTTGGTTTGGCGTTTGGGTAACGACTTGGTAACGCATTGCATCGGTTGGGAGGGTTGAGCTTGGTGTTGACAGTCTTCTTTCGTTCTCGTTTCGTATGTACATATGTACGCTCTTTTGCAGGTCGAATATGATCTCGACTGGCCGTTCGGTGCCGCTCAATTCGGCTTCCTAAGATATGTCGTTTGTCGTGACGTCTTTGATATCACCTGCTCAACCCAAGGCTACGGCTTCCACCGTGCCTTTGCCCAGCACACTCAGTCTCCCCCTCTTGATTCCCAATGCGTCTTCAATCCTCGCATCGGGCTCTCCCTTGCTTTGTCTCATCATCGCCAACGTTATGACACCAGCATCCACATACGTTCTTCCCTGGAACCCTCTTCTGCCAACGTCTCGCAACTCATCTTCTGCCTGGTCTGCTATCCGTTGTCTCGCCTCCAGTACCCGTAGTACGGGGTTATTGCGCGGGTCGGGGAACGCAGACTGCGGTGGCGATTGCATCATCGTATCGGAAGGTAGATTCGGCGAGGTATTGCGACGAGGGTCAAATTGCGAGGCAGACGAAGGCGAGAAATGAGGGTTCGGTTGAACAGCACCAAGACTGCTCAGGCGAGATGCAAAGGCAGGGTCGCGGGCATCTTGTAAAACAGCTAGACTAAAAATCAGTGTCGTGTCCCCATGTGCTGACAGCGTGTGAACACATACCCTCGGTCTTCTCTCCAGTAGCCTGCACCTCGGGATGGACAGTCGGTCCCTTTATAGGATCCTGTGCGGGTGCGGAAGGCGCGGGAGCCCGTGTTGTAGTATTCGTAGGGGCTCTGGTAGGGTATTTACGAGCAGCAGAGCCCGCCGCCTTTGCGCCTTTGGAAGCCGAAGAGCCCATTATCTCTGTTGGGAACACGTCGAGTGTGGGGTAGTTGCAGAATGTTGAGATGCGTGGTGATAACGGGGGGGCAGATAAGATGCACGTATGGGACTTTCTGAAGCTTGGACCACTCTGATGATGTAGTGGAGATCTCCCGCGTCATGAAAAGGGTTTACTACTTTGGGCGATGCTTGCGAAGGCTGCAACGAATCGTAATTTTATTTTAGAACACATCGTGACATGCTTAATCTACCAAGGGCTATTGTGGCCTATAGGAGCTTTTCGTCGGCACGGTAGTGTCCTGCGACCAGGAATGCCAACTCCAACGCCTGCTTCTCGTTCAACCTGGGATCGCAGTATGTGGTATAGTTCAGGCTTAGATCCTCGTCCACAAGTCCTTCACTTCCGCCAGTACATTCCGTAACTGCATCGCCGGTGAGTTCCAGGTGCATGCCACCGAGGAAGGACCCGTGCTGCTTGTGAATCTTGAGCGCTGATGAGAGCTCAGAGAAGATGCTGTTGAAAGAGCGGGTCTTGATGCCAGTAGGCGTGCTGCGCGTGTTGCTATCGACACATTAGTGGATGAAAGATTGCGTACCAAGACGACTTACCCGTGCATGGGATCGCACTGCCACACTACAACGTGTCCGCTGCTCTTGACAGCTTCAATGTGCGCTCCAAGCATCGACTCAACCTTGTCCGCACCATATCGCGTGATCAATGTAATCTTGCCAATCTCCTTGTTCGGGTTGACAATATCGAGTAGTTCTACGAGCTTGTCGTTCTTCATGGAAGGCCCAACCTTGATACCAATAGGGTTCTCAATACCGCGGAAGTACTCAACGTGGCCTCCGTCAATTTGACGAGTTCGGTCCCCGATCCAGATGAAATGAGCAGACGTGTTGTACCAGCCCTTGCCATCATTCGAGGCCTGGGAAGGCTTGTAGCCAGCAGGGTGCTTGAGTCTCCTTGTCAAGCTCTGCTCATACTCCAGAACGAGACCTTCGTGGCTGGTGAACAGGTCTACTGTCTGCAGCTGACCTGATGTGTCCGCCCCAATAGTCTTCATGAAGCGCAACGAGTCAGAGATGCTGTGGACGATTTTCGAGTACTTGGTTTGTAGTTCCTCATCCCGGACGTGACCCAGTTCCCAGTCCAGAGGGTTGTGCAGATCAGCAATACCACTTGCTAGCTGTCCACGGATATAGTTCAGTGTTGTCGCCGAATGGAAGTAGGCGCTGACCAGCCTCTCAGGGTCAACTCTTCGAGCGTCAGGGTCAT